CCGCTGCTATTAAACCAGGTCTGTATACTCTGTGCTCGTACCGTCCGCGTCACAAACTGTAACATGTACAAGCGTGTAATCCTATAGAATATTTATCGCAAAATGTCCATTGAGTATGGTCATGGTATATGTACGTTCCAGGAGCGCAATCAGCCCGCAGCTCCCCCACGGGGTCGTCCGTCCAGTCTACCAGCAGTGGGGGCGGTGGGGTCAGCCAGTTGCCCCCCGGCGCGGGCCCCGCCACCCCGCCTGCCGATGACCGAAGGTTCGGTCCCATCGGAGCTCGGCATGCGCACCCAGGTCTGTACCATATCTGACCATATACCATGATACCCTGGGCCAGTGTGAATGACACAAAAACGTTTGTTTCCTTGACAGAATCGAGCGTATTCCTCCCCGACTCCAGCATAACGAATCTATCGGTACTTGAAGTGTCCGAACGGGAAATCGAATCCTTCAAACGGTTCGACTTTTACTTCGAGCCGCCACAGCACAAGCCGAAAGTACAACTAGACGTCAGAGATATCGCCGCGGCCTTAAGGCAAAACCACAAGTAAACGGACACGCCCCTTTTCACTAAAATTACCCACTTTTTCTAGGCATTCGAGTTGGTGAGGACTTTGCTAGTTTTGCTTCAATCTTTTACAGTAATTACAACAAGTTTAAGACACGTCCCTTTTCACAAATATTGCGTATTCTTGTCGGCTTTCTGTGTTTTCGTTCAGTATAAATGTAAAATGAAACAGCTAGTCATTCAATCAACGACCTGAATGACTAGATTTCTCATTTAATCTGTTAGTTCAAGGGTGAAGAGATTTTTATGGAAACAGACTAGCTGCCTGGCCGGCTAGGCCGTTAATAAGCCATTCAGTAAATGATATAGCTATAGATGGTAGCTTTTTATTTGCGATGGCAACACCATTTCTGTGCGGGTCGCAGTTGTAACCTACTAACCTACCATTCTGGTAGAAAGTCTGTTTCGATGGCAACCCCTTCACCATTCAAGTGACGGCCTTAGAAGATGGCTTGCTGTAATATTTAGCTGCGATGTATCGTCACCTAACGTAACGTTAGTGTTCGTTCTGTCGTCTGTCAGTAGGGAATACATTCGCTGTTCATGAAGGAATTATTTTTAATATATCTCCCGTTCCCTTGAGAATGTTTGACATTCCGTCTCTATGGGCTCTCGGACTCGACTTCCGATGAAGCAACATGGTGTATATTCGCTCCTAAAAGTATTTCTCAGGCAATTAACTTAAATGCAAAAAAAAAACCATAGCATTTTTCTTTTTCCTTTCTTTCATTCGTTTCAATCAATTTGTCTCCCTCTCTCCAACGTGAGATTATATGAGACTTGACTCCCCCCTTTAATCATCTCACGTAATATATATACGCCCCCCACCTCCTTATTTAAGATTCCGTTTGCCTAGAATTATAAATGTCGGCTCATAAACTAGACTCATGGTGTAACTGGTGATAAGTGGTTGTCGCATCGTGAATGTACTTCCCTGCTTACTATCCTGTAGGGGGAAAGGCGTCTACTGTCTTGACTGAGCGATATTAAATCGCTCAAATCGTATAGTGACGTATATTTGACAATGACTATAAAAATAATGTTGGACTGATTCTTATGATATGTTTCAAATACTATATTTGATTTGAAAGTATTTATTCTGTACAAGTTGAAAGCAGCGATGTTTAGCTATACCTTCGCTGCTCGGCTCCTATAGCTCGTAGCGTGATGTTTTATAGCCTATAGCCTTCCTCGATAAATGGACTATCCAACACAAAAAGAATCGTTCAAATTCAAACCAAAAAACTGGTCAGTTTTATAAAATATGTTTAGCGAAATTTTTTAAATTCTAGACTGTTGGTCATATTTTGTTTGTCAATACTTTCGAATCGGATATAGTTTTTGTAAACTTATTATGTAAGTATTTATTGTAAAATACATACTTTATTGTGTATGTCTATCGGACAGTTTCAAGGACGTACAGATCTGCAGATTTGCTTACTAGAGCTACAAATATTATAAACGCGAGAGTTTGTAATAACGGATGGATGTTTGTTACTCTCTCGCGTGAACACTACTGATGATAATGATTTCTCTTGTAAGCAAATGTACAGATGCAAGCTGGCCGTAAGAGGTATACTCGTAACATCTAAAAATGTATAAAAAATTGGAATTTACAAGTCTCTATAAATGTTGACCAAGAATTATGTAAACGGCATAAAACAAAATTAATCAGACACTGCGACTTACACTTGTGCGGCTATATTTCGCAAGATTATCAGCCCCGGTAGTTGCTCGTAATCAGTCGAGCATGCTCGTAAAGTTACAAGAGTAAATCTCAGTGTCTAATTAATGTTTAAATCTATGCATTGACTGGGTGTAGACGCGCGCGATCTAGGCCACATATATTTGTAATACACATTAATCGGTAATCGAATCCACAATGACTTATGAAGTTAATTACAAAAAGAAAACATTGAATGAGTTATATTTAAGATAATGATAAAATAAATTTAAGTAATAAATACTTGTGTAACAATTTTTATAATATAACTTAACAATTAATGATTAGTAAAACAAAGTACCCGGTAATTTAAGATATAGGTACCTACTGCTGTGTAACTGTCTGTCTGTCTGTCTGTCGAGTAGTTCACCTATAGATAGGTAGTTTGATAATTCACTTCACAAGTCATTGCTACAAACGCTACGAATGATTGAATGCCTATAATATTAAAAGTTTGGTCCCGGTTCCTGACACACTGCTTCAGTTTGTCCAGCGTGGCAATGGTGAGGTCTCCTTCGGTGTCTGTCGGCGACACGGGTAGCTTACCATCAGGCAATTTGTCTGTTCTATAGACAAAAGGAGTTGTTGAAACGCTTCCTTTACTGTTCTAGGCATTACTTCGTCGAAGCGTTTGTCTTCGAAATGAGAATGGACGCGACAATATAGGATAGTGAGGATTATAAAATGTACCAATGTAAACTCGAGTCTCCAGCGTGTGGATTATTTGGTTTTAAGATGTTAAACCTTAAGAGAAAAATACATTATCATAGATGACTTTTGTGTTTTATTGCATTCTTTATGTGATGGTCAATAGTCCAATTACTTAGCCCCATTTTTCAGGCGAAATATTCGAAAAATACTGAATTGCACACTTGGATTGCATCTCAAATAAATACAGTATACTGTTGGATGTTCTAAGCTTAAATGTTATACTGAATGACTATCTGTTGACTAAAACTAGATCTATTTTCTTGTCTTGATTCTAACCTAACTTAAAAATCCGTAGTTATCACTACATAGTATAAAACAAAGTCGCTTTCTCTGTCCCTATATCCCTATGTACGCTTTAACTTTTAAAACTACGCAACGCATTTTGTAGCGGTTGCTTTTAATAGACAGAGTGATTGAAGAGGAAGGTTTATATGTATAATAACATCCATTAAATAATGGAGCAATTTAGTATCAGCATTGCATCCGAAGCAGGGACGGGTCGCTAGTATTGAATAATTTGTGTGCAAATCAGTATTTTAGTTTTACGGTGAGTAATGTAGTTTTAAAGTTCGTATATGTAGTGTAGATTCTGATAGATTTTTGTACACTATGTTTAGGTAATCAAGTATTTAGTTAGTAGTACATTCATTTGTTTGATATGCTGTAGGTTATTAGTGGAGTAATTTTGTTTGCTTACATTTATAAATGGGTGATTCTTCACATCAATTAAAAAAAATTTAATAATGTCATTATCCTCAACCGAAAATTAACGAGTCTGCTGATTAAAACACAGATAATTATTTTATTAAATTAAATCTCACCACTGCTTACAAGCAACCGATTAAAAATATTGTATAAAATAAATTACTAAGATGCCTAAAAACCTGGGAGGATAATGACTTGTTAAATAAAAGTTAAGGTTTTTTGGAGAATCACCCAAATAGAGATACAGCTAAGAAAACCTATTCTCTTCATTCCTTCCAACTTCTCACCAATACAGGTACTTGTGTAACGTCAAAATTGAACAATAGTCCGGAGGCCCAATCCTTCCCCTTCCCCAATCCCTCCTCAACCCCTAAATCTCCAAATCTCTAATCCCTCAAAGGTCGGCAACGCACTCGTAACTCCTCCGTTGCGAGTGTCCATGGGCGGCGCTGATTGCTTACCATCAGGTAATCCGTCTGCTCGTTTGCCGACCTATTACATAAAAAAAAAATAGTCCGTTAGTCTGTCCGTCAGTATAAAGTCAAAATCATTTATTTCAATTAGACCCTTACAGGCATTTTTGAACGTCAAACAAAATTTTAAAGGTATAAAGTGTCAGTCTGTCCGTCGGTCCCCTTAGTGAAGCTATTCGCTCGTTCCAAAGTGTAGATTCCGATGGAGAAGAACGAGCAACAAACTCCATGGTTACTCTTTTTTAAATCAGTTTCACATACAGATTCCTTATACAAACAGTTGGTTCAATTATGTGAGAACAGTGTAACACTAATATTTTGAAATATAAAAAGTACAGCTAGTTAGTTTATTTATCATTGATAGAAAATAATACAGGATTTTCTATTTCAAAATAGTAATTAGAAATAGCTGTGTTTGATTGGCAAATGTTTTTTCATCTTGATTTTGTTTATAGGTTTTTATCAAAGATATTTTAGCCCCATCGTACCTCTTTACATTAGGTGGCTAACATGAATATAATAGTTGAATAGGAGGATAGGAATTTATTATAGAGGACAATACTTAAATGACACATCTTTTTCATAATATCCGAAGATGGTACAGATAAGAGGGGGAAATCATTAATATCGACTCCTGCCGTGGGTGGGGCGAGGAGAGTCAGACTCTTACTGACTAAACACCCCCCTTTTCCTTCTGCAAGGAGCGAGGTCGCGGTACATTACGCTCCACATTAAGCTAAGGTTCAACTAGTAATCCTTCCTAGACGTTAGCAGCTACGGCGACCGTCTCTGTACTCATCTACTGGCGTCTATAATGGGCTCTCTCGTGGCTACAACATCCACCTTTGTTCTTAAATATTCTCGCACAGAATGGACGCGTGAGAGCATCATTCACACGATGGTAGGCGACTGCCGCTGGTGGTCACGCTTCGCATCCAAGTGTGAGAGCCTACTAGTCTCCAAGTCAGGAATATTCTGTCGCAGCAATGACCTTAAGTTGCCCGCCATGCTTCCGAATAAAGGATGCGCTCAACTACTAGCGCCGACATACGCGCCACATGAACGCCTCATCCAAGCTGCTCATCAGCCTGATATCGTCCACAATTGGTCATAGGCCTCTCTAATGGAATGCCAATGAGCTCGATGTCCACCTAGCTGGAGGGCGCCCTACACTAGGTGGTTCTTCAACGAATGCGATCGTTCAGAGAGAGTCCAAGCATGGCCCTCTCCATAGGTCGGTCGAGTAGAATCGGTGGATCAGTCGCAGTGTCTCGACGCAGTGATGGTCCTCAACGCCTGCGGTATCCCCAGTATGTCTTTCATGTATAGGTCACTTTGCCTAGACGTGGTCTCCACTCACAAATGCGATCGTTCAGAGAGAGTCCAAGCATGGCCCTCTCCATAGGTCGCTGCGCGAGTTGAATCGGTGGATCAGTCGCAGTGTCTCGACGCAGTGATGGTCCTCAACGCCTGCGGTATCCCCAGTATGTCTTTCATGTATAGGTCACTTTGCCTAGACGTGGTCTCCACTCACAAATGCGATCGTTCAGAGAGAGTCCAAGCATGGCCCTCTCCATAGGTCGCTGCGCGAGTTGAATCGGTTGATCAGTCGCAGTGTCTCGACGCAGTGATGGTCCTCAACGCCTGCGGTATCCCCAGTATGTCTTTCATGTATAGGTCACTTTGCCTAGACGTGGTCTCCACTCACAAATGCGATCGTTGAGAGAGAGTCCAAGCATGGCCCTCTCCATAGGTCGGTCGAGTAGAATCGGTGGATCAGTCGCAGTGTCCCCAACGCCTGCGGTATCCCCAGTATGTCGCCGGCAGTGGGGGCTCGCGGCGCGGCTGGACGCGCTGCACGTGGCGCACGCCGCCGCGCGCCGCCGCCTCGACGCCACGCGCGCCACGCTGCACCAACACAACAAGAAAGGTAACTATATACCTGCCTCACTCTACACGACGCTCTCACATACCCCGACTCACGCGTACCTTGTATCCACAGGCAAAAAACAAAAGCTGAACCCGGCGCAGCAAGCTAAAGTACAACTAGTAGCTGAACAGCTCGGAGAACTCACCGTACTCATGAACACTACTTCCAAGGTGCCTTTTTATTTATTACATTTATTATTGTACTAATCCTTCTCTAATCATTCAATACCCAAAAACCCCTATCCCAAAATACTCTATTTCTAAATCCCTTATTCCAAAATTCTTTTTCCCCAAAATCCCTTAATTATCTCCAAATTTCCCTAATTATCCCCAAAATCCTTTATTTATCCTAAGATTCCTTAATTATCCCCAAAACCCCCTAATTATCCCCAAAATCCCTTAATTATCCCCAAAATCCTATTATAAGCCCAAAATTTTCATAATTTTCCCCAAAATCCTTTAATTATCCCTAAATTCTTTTAATAATCCCCAAAATTCCTTAATAATCCCCTAAAATCAAATAAAATACTTAAATTCCCATAATTATACCTAAATTTCCTTATTAATCTCCACAATCCCTTAATTATCTCCAAAATCACTTAATTATCCCGAAAATCCCTGAATTTTCCACAAAATCCCCTAACTATCCCCAAAATCCTTTAATAATACCCAAAACCCCTTAATTCTCCTCAAATTCCCTTAATTAGCCCCAAAATCCTTAATTATCTCTAAAATCTTTTAATAATCCCTAAATTTTCATAATAATCCCCAAAATATTTTAATTATCCCCAAAGTTCCCTAATAATCCCCAAAATCTCATAATTATCTCCAAAAACCCATAATTATCTCCAAAATCCCCTAATTATCCCCAAAATCCCTTAATTATTCCCAAAATCTCTTAATTATCCCCAAAATCCCCTAATTATCCCCAAAATCTCTAAATTATCCCCAAAATCTCTTAATTATCCCCAAAATCCCTTAATTATCCCCAAAATCCCCTAATTATCCCCGAAATCCTTTATTTATCCCCAAAAACACCTTAACTCCGTAAAGCGGGCAACGCATTACATAAAAACAGTGTGTTAATATTGTCCGTCCGTTTACAGGAAATGCAAGCAGCTGAAAAGCAAGTTGTAGACTTCACGCGACGGTTGCAAAATTGCGAACGACAGTTAGCAGAGTCGAGGGCCGTGCAAGGCAAACCTGACAGGCCCACACATACTCAGGTAAGGTGACAGCCCCGTTGTGGGCTAGGGATTGAGGAAATGAGGGCGTGAGGATAGATTAAAGCAACCATATTCTCCCTCCTTCCAGCTGGAGCAAGCAGCGCTACAGAACAAACAGCAACAGCTGCAACAACAGCAACAGCTGCAACAACAACAACAACAACACTTGCAGCAACAGCTACAGCAACAACAGGCCGCTACTGCTACGTTCATTAGTGAGTTTTTGTTTGTTGTTATCATTAGAGTTTTGCCTGTGTGTAGTAAAAATAGTTAATTAGTAAATGTATTTCCCCAGGCGAGGCGGGCGGTGGCATGGTATGCGTACGTCGGGCGCCGCCAGATGGAGCCACTGCGCTACCCAAGCATACAGGTCTGTGTCTATTTATGTTTTTTTATAATTTGTTATATCCACACGAACAAGGTTTGTAATGATTGTTTGTTCCAGTGGCCACAGTCCCCGAGGAACCGTCCGGACGCAAGCAAACCTGGGAGCAAGCACTAGCGCACATTAACCAACTAGCCAAGGGCACGAACAAGGAAAAGGTAATGATTGTACTGCTATTACAATAATACTTTAGTCAGGCAACAAGATATAATAATTTATTGACACATTTACAGAAGAAACACAAGGAACAGACGAAACAGCAAGACAAATCAAGCAAGGATGTTAAAGAATCCGCGAAAGTCAACGCGACGCAACCTGAACAGCCACTGTCCAAGAAGCAGAGGAAACTGCTGGCCAAACAACAGGTACGTGGGGTAGGCAGGGACCTAGCTCTGTGGTACTGCCCACTGAATTACTGCTGGCCAAACAACAGGTACGTGGGGTAGGCAGGGACCTAGCTCTGTGGTACTGCCCACTGAATTACTGCTGGCCAAACAACAGGTACGTGGGGTAGGCAGGGACCTAGCTCTGTGGTACTGCCCACTGAATTACTGCTGGCCAAACAACAGGTACGTGGGGTAGGCAGGGACCTAGCTCTGTGGTACTGCCCACTGAATTACTGCTGGCCAAACAACAGGTACGTGGGGTAGGCAGGGACCTAGCTCTGTGGTACTGCCCACTGAATTACTGCTGGCCAAACAACAGGTACGTGGGGTAGGCAGGGACCTAGCTCTGTGGTACTGCCCACTGAATTACTGCTGGCCAAACAACAGGTACGTGGGGTAGGCAGGGACCTAGCTCTGTGGTACTGCCCACTGAATTACTGCTGGCCAAACAACAGGTACGTGGGGTAGGCAGGGACCTAGCTCTGTGGTACTGCCCACTGAATTACTGCTGGCCAAACAACAGGTACGTGGGGTAGGCAGGGACCTAGCTCTGTGGTACTGCCCACTGAATTACTGCTGGCCAAACAACAGGTACATGGGGTAGGCAGGGACCTAGCTCTGTGGTACTGCCCACTGAATTACTGCTGGCCAAACAACAGGTACGTGGGGTAGGCAGGGACCTAGCTGGCTTTATTCGAAATAATACACATATGTATTAACACATACGTCCAAATACAGTGATACTCACTAGTTATATTATCTACGTAATATAAAAAATATCTGTGATTATATTAATATATAAAATAAAAACTACAGAAAAACATATATTCAACTAACTCAAGTACACAATACACTCGAAAATCTAAATAAAAACTAAACTATTCTTCTCCTCCCTACACAGGCGGAAGAAGAAGAAAAGAAGAAACAACAACAGCAAGAGGCGAAAACGAAAAAGACAGCAGAAGTGAAAAAAGCCGACCCACCGAAACCCGAACCCGCCAAGACTAAAGCAGAGAAGAAAGCGGAGACCAAGAAGGAGAAGAAGGAAGAAAAGAAGAAGGAGAAAGCAGAGAAGAACGAAAAGAAAGGAAAGGAAAATAAACAGGAGAAGAGTGAGTGCATTTCTTAACATTAACTGAGAAAAGCTCTACTAATTTCGAGTCACAGCGGGACTCTTGTTATATATATTGTAATAACATATTACAGTATATCAGTCGCTATATTGTCATACTAGCTCCCGCCCGCGACTTCGCCCGTGTGATGTCCAGGGTATCACCTATCCAGACATTTTCGCGTTAAAGAATGACAAACTTACACAAACTCTGACATTTATAATATTATTAGGATTAGGATCATAATACCTGAATCTAGATAAGCTTGCGAGTGCATTCAGTTCCTAACTTTGAAATACTTGGTTTAGCGCCCCAACCGCAGCCGAAGACGAAACAACCCGTCCAACAACAACAGCAGCAACAACAACAAGCGACAACAAAGAAGGAGAACAAGAAGCAACAACAGCAACAGATGCAACAGTTGCAGCAACAGAAGTCGCAAGCCATTAATATTACTCCAGATACCACAATTGAAGTTGTTAGCAAGAAGGTAGCTTAACGTCACTATCTGTACCTATCTACGTACTAGCTTGTAGTATAAAAGTAAAAATACGCAAATCAAGTGTAATTTATAGCCTAAACTTTACCTCTGTATAACATTAGCTTATTAAGTATATATATATAAAAATGGCTGCCGTGCAACGAGTCGCGTCTTCGATCCTCTTTGTGGGATCCGCAAACAGTGTAAAATACTATTTTATTGTAATGTATTTACGTTAAATAGCATAGTTGTGTCTCACAGAACCAGTGCAGCAATGAGTTGGAGAAGCCAGCCTCATGCAGCATCATGGAACAGCTCAGCTGTGGAGTACAGGTAGGTCAAGGATCAATAGATCATCATCATCGGCCAAAGACTTCTTCTCACACGGAGAAGGTTTAATCATTAACCCCCACGCTCGTTCAAGGCGGATTGCCGATTTCAAACTCATAATTAGAAATTACAAGTCCAGGCTTCCGCACATTGTTACATATGATATGATCAAATTTTATCACATATTACCAATACCAACACGCCTCGGCTTGCTAAAACTAAATTTCTCCACTATTTAATGGATGTTATTATACATATAAACCTTCCTCTTCAATCACTCTGTCTATTAAAAAACCGCATCAAAATCCGTTGCGTAGTTTGAAAGATTTAAGCGTACATGGGGATATAGGGATACTATGTAGTGATATTATGTATTGTTGTGTAAGGAAACTGGTGAATTGTTGTCAGGTAGCGGATCTGAAGCTGCCCCCAGGTATAACCCTGACGAGGGTACAGCCCTCGGACAAGAAGGAACCACCGCCTATCAAGTCTGTCGTAAGTATATACTAGTATTGTACATCTTGGCGCGAGTTTACAAGGCGCCGGTATATTTATTATATTTATATCACTAACAACATGTATGATCCAATTCGATAGTGTAGCCATCAGTCTTACAAAATACTTATAAAGTAATTTATTTTAAAATTAAACATAATTAATATAATAAAAATAAAATTCCTCATAAAGCAATCTAAAAGGTAACTAAATAACCAAACTTGATTCTTGTACATTATTAACATGTAATATTAAATACCGTAATGAGTCTTAGACACTATATTACTTAGGTACATATATCTATTAAACATATACTTATTATTTATTTATTTATTATAATATAATACTAAATAAGGTAGGCTCACAGCGTATGTATACAAAATAGTTAGAAGTATTGGTTACAGGCAGTAGGTCTTATACATTAGCCAGTTACGAGCTAACCGACATTCTTTAAATTATGCGTTTGTACAGACAAAATATTATATAGAAATTTTAATAACTAGAACTAATCAAATTAACATAGTACAACAGTATTTATCATAGTAAAGTATTGACATAAATAAAATAAAAAATAAAGTTTGATATGTGCTACCATTATAAATTAAGAACTATGCTGCAAGAATGTATTATGTACCTAGTTAATGTTTTGTATATTTTAGATAGGAGGAGTATAGAAAATTCAGATTTTTGTTCAATGGACTATTACTAACGTAAAGATATTTCTAAGAAAACAAAAAAAATAAAATATATTCTTCTGTATGTTAAATAGAGGTCATACTTAACTAAAACTAAGCTAGAAATGAAATCAATCAATTAAAGTACTTTTCGTTATTTTTAGATACTCTAAAAGATTTCGTTTATACAAAGAACCATATAAGGTATATTAACAATAACGACTGAACTTGAATTTACTGAGAAGAGCTCTACCAGTTCCACAATGGTATTCTTACTCAAAATAAATTTAGTATAACTCACTATATTTGGTATTCAAAAAGCCATATATGGCGCTATTTAAGTATTACTAGACATGGCTTAATATTTATAAATCATAAAATAAGCTTTTATCATACTATAGTGACACAGAGTAAATACCCTAAAAAATATTAATAAAAACGCATAAGTTGTAGGTACTACTCAATCAATGAATATATAACCGATAAAAAAATAACTTTTTTATATAATATGATTAATATCTACAAATATGCCTGAACAACATTATATAAATAGTACTACTGCACATAACATATTATAAAAATACAAATATCACGAATATATGTAAGCTGATTTACAAAAGTCAAATAAATTTAAGTAAAGAAATGTATATTAAGAATGAAAATAAAGATTACCCAGCTCTAAGACATTCCTAAAATTTAAAAATAAATAAATTATAATTTAAATGAAGATAAATTGATTCAAATAAACGCCTTCCTCTCTTCTATTACTATGCTTTGCTCATCAGCGTCCATTTTTGTTTTACCAACTTATGTACATTATGAAGTGCAATAAACAATTTGTTTTGTGTGTAGCCGCTTTGGAAGGCCGGCCAGCTCCCCGCCGCGCCGACCCCCGTGGCCAGGCCGGCGCCCATCATCAACGCTGACCCAGCCAACGTCATGTTCAGCACTGCGCATCCCGGTGAGTTCCTTACTCCGGCTTCACTTTATAGATTCTGGTATTGTTACTAATTTGTTAAACTTTGTCCACAGAACCGCCGAAACCGGTGATAATAGCCGAGCCGCCCCCCGTGCCTGGCAAATCGAAGAAGGCCAAGAAAAAGGCCAAAAAGGCCGCCGCGGCCGCCGAAGAAAAACAAGACGGGTCCAAGATCGTCACCCTGAGGAACCCCATGTTCCATCCTAACCTCCCACCGGTCCAGATAAGCAATCAGCCGGCGAAGAAACAGGAACAGATTCGAGTCCCCGACCCGATACCGATGCCGCCGAACGCTTGCCAAGCGACTATCACCCCTACGTCAAACGGAATGTTCACTATAAGAAATCCTCTAATGACGATGATGCACCAACAAAGTATGATGGGCGTCAGAGCTCAAAGTCCTCAACTCAACCCCATGTACCCCCAGCAATATAACTATGTGAACCCGAACAGTTACAGCCAATGCGCCGACCCACCCAAATCCGACGATTTCCAAACACGAATCATGAATTTGGCGTCGTTCACGCAAAAGAACGATGAAGGATACTCTTTATTTAAAACCCCCGACGATCAGCAACAAAGGAACTTCCTCACACCGGAATACTTGGAAAACCAAAGCCCCAAGTCTGTCGTTTCCCCGAATCCTATAGGAACTAGACCGGACACGAGCCGAGGCTTCGAATCGGATATATCTCTATTCGCCAACCCGATACAACGGCCTGAGCCTATAGGGACGCCTATGAAGCAAGAAGACCAACAGTATACCGGTCTATACACTCCGTTCGGTCAGGAAGACCGGAACGTGTTCAGGAACGCGCTTTTCAGTGATAAAAGCGATGATAAAGGGTTAAAGCACGTCGCGAATGGAGACTCGTTGCCATATTTCCAAAGGCTTAGAGTCGGAGCGAAGCTGAACAATGAAGTTTCTATCCACCGCGTTACTGACTCCAAGTTCTACAAGGGGCAGGTAAGCTGTTCCAATTGTACGCGTTATTGTAATCTGTCTCTGTGCCAAACTTACATGCGTACTTACACACTTTCGCGTTTATAATAATACCTGGATGATATATTTTTCTGAAAGTAAGCCCCACTTGTATAGATTTTTCGTTCCTCTTTCCCTTGATAAACATAAATTCATCTAAATCGTTTGCGAGATTCTGTAAATATATCTTTCTTTTTTGTCTCGTTTATTTAGGGATTTTTTACCCAAAAAGATATGCCAGTCCTATCTTATCTTTTACAAATAGCTTACTTATTTCTTAATAATTAGCTACAAAATATCTAAAACTTAGTGTATCGATCGATCGATGAATAAAAGTATAGTTCATTTTCAATATTTTATTGTATTGAAACGTCAAATTAATTTATTTTTGGCCTAGGAAACTACACAATTTTACTAGGAAACTACACACTTTAACAATGCTAAAGTGTCTAAAATTTCTTTTTAAGTGAGTGACAGAGGTTCTTCGCTTGATTTATTAGTAGCATAGATTCTAAAATAATTAATAACAGAGTTTTAAGATCCTTGAACTTGTATTATAACGAAGTTTTACACGTTTTCGCATCGTTAGAGTGCAATTGTACTTTTGATCCTAGTCTAAATATCGGAGACTAAGTATAGTTATGCAAGTGTAGTAAGGAAGTCATTCTATTCATATTCATATTATTTATTTGCGATCCACAATGTATAAAATAGGTGTAGCATAGACATTCTGTGAATATATGACACTGTATGAATATATACGGACATAGATTAGCGTGTACAAACAAACTCTTCAGCTTTATAATACTAGTATAGATTTCATCTAATTCGTTAGAGCTGTTCCCAAGATTCTGTGACTATATGAATATATAATTATACCTCCATAGAGGGGTGGGTGTAATAGCGTGTGTCGTGTCCAGGAGCCCGGTCACCCTCTAGAGTGCGGAGTGTGTGAGGAGTCCCTCTTCAGCAGACCGGCCCACGCCTGGCCCGACCAGCTGTACTCCGCTGCCATTAAACCAGGTCTGTATACTCTGTGCTCGTACCGTCCGCGTCACAAACTGTAACATGTACAAGCGTGTAATCCTATAGAATATTTATCGCAAAATGTCCATTGAGTATGGTCATGGTATATGTACGTTCCAGGAGCGCAATCAGCCCGCAGCTCCCCCACGGGGTCGTCCGTCCAGTCTACCAGCAGTGGGGGCGGTGGGGTCAGCCAGTTGCCCCCCGGCGCGGGCCCCGCCACCCCGCCTGCCGATGACCGAAGGTTCGGTCCCATCGGAGCTCGGCATGCGCACCCAGGTCTGTACCATATCTGACCATATACCATGATACCCTGGGCCAGTGTGAATGACACAAAAACGTTTGTTTCCTTGACAGAATCGAGCGTATTCCTCCCCGACTCCAGCATAACGAATCTATCGGTACTTGAAGTGTCCGAACGGGAAATCGAATCCTTCAAACGGTTCGACTTTTACTTCGAGCCGCCACAGCACAAGCCGAAAGTACAACTAGACGTCAGAGATATCGCCGCGGCCTTAAGGCAAAACCACAAGTAAACGGACACGCCCCTTTTCACTAAAATTACCCACTTTTTCTAGGCATTCGACTTGGTGAGGACTTTGCTAGTTTTGTTTCAATCTTTTACAGTAATTACAACAAGTTTAAGACACGCCCCTTTTCACAAATATTGCGTATTCTTGTCGGCTTTCTGTGTTTTCGTTCAGTATAAATGTAAAATGAAACAGCTAGTCATTCAATCAACGACCTGAATGACTAGATTTCTCATTTAATCTGTTAGTTCAAGGGTGAAGGGATTTTTATGGAAACAGACTAGCTGCCTGGCCGGCTAGGCCGTTAATAAGTCATTCAATAAATGATATAGCTATAGATGGTAGCTTTTTATTTGCGATGGCAACACCATTTCTGTGCGGGTCGCAGTTGTAACCTACTAACCTACCATTCTGGTGGTAAGTCTATTTCGATGGCAACCCCTTCACCATTCAAGTGACGGCCTTAGAAAATGGCTCGCTGTAATATTGAGCTGCGATGTATCGTCACCTAACGTAACGTTAGTGTTCGTTCTGTCGTCTGTCAGTAGGGAATACATTCGCTGTTCATGAAGGAATTATTTTTAATATTTCTCCCGTTCCCTTGAGAATGTTTGACATTCCATCTCTATCGGCTCTCGGACTCGACTTCCGATGAAGCAACATGGTGTATATTCGCTTCTAAAAGTATTTCTCAGGCAATTAACTTAAATGCAAAAACAACCATAGCATTCTCCTACTTCTTTTCTTTCATTCGTTTCAATCAATTTGTCTCCCTCTCTCCAACGTGAGATTATATGAGACTTGACTCCCCCCTTTAATCATCTCCCGTAATATATGTACGCCCCCCACCTCCTTATTTAAGATTCCGTTTGCCTAGAATTATAAATGTCGGCTCATAAACTAGACTCATGGTGTAACTGGTGATATGTGGTTGTCGCATCGTGAATGTACTTCCCTGCTTACTATCCTGTAGGGGGAAAGGCGTCTACTGTCTTGACTGAGCGATATTAAATCGCTCAAATCGTATAGTGACGTATATTTGACAATGACTATAAAAATACTGTTGGACTGATTCTTATGATATGTTTCAAATACTATATTTGATTTGAAAGTATTAATTCTGTACAAGTTGAAAGCAGCAATGTTTGGCCCTTCGCTGCTCGTAGCGTGATGTTTTATAGCCTATAGCCTTTCTCGATAAATGGACTATCCAACACAAAAAGAATTATTTAATTCTAACCAGTAGTTCCGCAGATAAGCGCGTTCAAATTCAAACTATTTTTTTTTAATTCTAGACTGTTGGTCATATTTTGTTTGTCAATACTTTCGAATCGGATATAGTTTTTGTAAACTTATTATGTAAGTATTTATTGTAAAATACATACTTTATTGTGTATGTCTATCGGACAGTTTCAAGGACGTACAGATCTGCAGATTTGCTTACTAGAGCTACAAATATTATAAACGCGAGAGTTTGTAATAACGGATGGATGTTTGTTACTCTCTCGCGTGAACACTACTGATGATAATGATTTCTCTTGTAAGCAAATGTACAGATGCAAGCTGGCCGTAAGAGGTATACTCGTAACATCTAAAAATGTATAAAAAATTGGAATTTACAAGTCTCTATAAATGTTGACCAAGAATTATGTAAACGGCATAAAACAAAATTAATCAGACACTGCGACTTACACTTGTGCGGCTATATTTCGCAAGATTATCAGCCCCGGTAGTTGCTCGTAATCAGTCGAGCATGCTCGTAAAGTTACAAGAGTAAATCTCAGTGTCTAATTAATGTTTAAATCTATGCATTGACTGGGTGTAGACGCGCGCGATCTAGGCCACATATATTTGTAATACACATTAATCGGTAATCGAATCCACAATGACTTATGAAGTTAATTACAAAAAGAAAACATTGAATGAGTTATATTTAAGATAATGATAAAATAAATTTAAGTAATAAATACTTGTGTAACAATTTTTATAATATAACTTAACAATTAATGATTAGTAAAACAAAGTACCCGGTAATTTAAGATATAGGTACCTACTGCTGTGTAACTGTCTGTCTGTCTGTCTGTCGAGTAGTTCACCTATAGATAGGTAGTTTGATAATTCACTTCACAAGTCATTGCTACAAACGCTACGAATGATTGAATGCCTATAATATTAAAAGTTTGGTCCCGGTTCCTGACACACTGCTTCAGTTTGTCCAGCGTGGCAATGGTGAGGTCTCCTTCGGTGTCTGTCGGCGACACGGGTAGCTTACCATCAGGCAATTTGTCTGTTCTATAGACAAAAGGAGTTGTTGAAACGCTTCCTTTACTGTTCTAGGCATTACTTCGTCGAAGCGTTTGTCTTCGAAATGAGAATGGGCGCGACAACATAGGATAGTGAGGATTATAAAATGTACCAATGTAAACTCGAGTCTCCAGCGTGTGGATTATTTGGTTTTAAGATGTTAAACCTTAAGAGAAAAATACATTATCATAGATGACTTTTGTGTTTTATTGCATTCTTTATGTGATGGTCAATAGTCCAATTACTTAGCCCCATTTTTCAGGCGAAATATTCGAAAAATACTGAATTGCACACTTAGATTGCTTCTCAAATAAATCCAGTATACTGTTGGATGTTCTAAGCTTAAATGTTATACTGAATGACTATCTGTTGACTAAAACTAGATCTATTTCTTGTCTTTAGTTCTAACCTAACTTAAAAATCCGTAGTTATCACTACATAGTATAAAACAAAGTCGCTTTCTCTGTCCCTATATCCCTATGTATGCTGTAACTTTTAAAACTACGCAACGGATTTTGCTGCGGTTGCTTTTTATAGACAGAGTGATTGAAGAGGAAGGTTTATATGTATAATAACATCCATTAAATAGTGGAGAAATTTAGTATCAGCATTGCATCCGAGCAAAGCAGGGACGGGTCGCTAGTATTGAATAATTTGTGTGCAAATCAGTATTTTAGTTTTACGGTGAGTAATGTAGTTTTAAAGATTCTGATAGATTTTTGTACACTATGTTTAGGTAATCAAGTATTTAGTTAGTAGTACATTAATTTGTTTGATATGCTGTAGGTTATTAGTGGAGTAATTTTGTTTGCTTACATTTATAAATAGAGATACAGCTAAGAAAACCTATTCTCTACATTCCTTCCAACTTCCAACCAATACAGGTACTTGTGAAACGTCAAAATTGAACAAAAGTCCGTCAGTCTGTTCGTCAGTATAAAGTCAAAAATCATTTATTTCAATTAGACCCTTATAGGCACTTTTGAACGTCAAACAAAATTTTAAAGATATAAAGTGTCAGTCTGTCCGTCGGTCCTCTTAGTGAAGCTATTTGCTCGTTCCAAAGTGTAGATTCCGATGGAGAAGAACGAGCAACAAACTCCATGGTTACTCTTTTTTAAATCAGTTTCACATACAGATTCCTTGTACATACAGTTGGTTCAATTATTTGAGAACAGTGTAACACTTATATTTTGTACAGAGAAATATAAAAAGTACAGCTAGTTAGTTTATTTATCATTGATAGAAAATAATACAGGATTTTCTATTTCAAAACAGTAATCAGAAATAGCTGTGTTTGAGGGGAAAACGTTTTTTTCATCTTGATTTTGTTTATAGGTTTTTATCAAAGATATATCAGCCCCATCGTACCTCTTTACATTAGGTGGCTAACATGAATATAATAGTTGAATAGAATACATAGTGTGACAGAAAACTCTTTGACATCATGACGTCAATGGATGGTTGTCAAACGTTGCCTAGAGATTGTAAATTTCGTCGTGAATTGTCAACACGAGTTGGTGTAATCGGTAAGGCGTGTGGATTACACCACAGAGACCCCGAGTTCGAGTCCCGCCGTAAACATGAAGTTTTTTAGTTGATGGAAGTTTTGTCGAACTTTCTGGAATATTTGAGTGAAAGTGATGAAAAATTAAGGAGCGAGAAGAAGAATAAATAAAAATGAATAACGAAATTATTGGAAGATTCTGGAGGCATGACGATCAAAAAGAATAACGAAATTGAATGTTCTAGAACCTGACCGGGGGTATATAAGCGGAACTGCGGCTCACCGCTGGCAGTTGAGTTCTAAGTCTAAAGCGATTCGGAAGAAAAGGAAGAAGTGAGAAAGAAGAAAAGTGAGTGAAATAGTGAAGTGCAGTGAAATAGTGAAGTGCAGTCAGTTAAGTGAGTTAAGTCAGCGTGAACGGCAAAGTTGTGTCAGTCGGCCGGACTCTGCTGGAGAGGAACGCCGATAACTTAACTCCGTGGACGCTGTAACTTAAGTGCAATAGAAAGTCTGAAAACCGGTATTAGTGTTTCATTTCATCCAATCCCGTAACCCAAGCCCGCATAGTCAGGAACGTGACGTCAGGCACGTAACATTTGGTGTCAGAAGTGGGATTGGAGAAAAATGCCGCTAGTGCCGCAGGACGTAAGAGGAGTGAGTACCCGTTCAATGTCAGAAGCGCAGCGTGTGAGGGAAGAGGGTGCTGCAGCTCAAACCAGCGATGCAGAAGCCAAGCCTGTGCAGGTGGATCTTCTGCTACAGCTGCAGCAAATGATGGCAGAGCAAGCGCGCCGCCAAGAAGAGCAAGCGCGCCGCCAAGAAGGCAAGCGCGCCGCCAAGAAGAGCAAGCGCGCTGTCAGGCAGAACAGCTGCGGGAGCTGAAAGAAGAGCAAGCGCGCCGCCAAGAAGAGCAAGCGCGCCGCCAAGAAGAGCAAGCGCGCCGCCAAGAGGAGCAAGCACGCTGTCAGGCAGAACAGCTACGGGAGCAAGCACACTGTCAGGCGGAGCAGCTACGGGAGCTGAAAGAGATGCATAAGGATTTCACGAAGGGACTGCAAAAGGCTGTCGAACGGGTACAGGAAGTGGAGGAAGGGTTAGGCAAGTTGGAACATCGCGTCATGGCCATAGAGGAGAGAGTGGAAGAAGAGATCTCCAAAATCAAGCAGGAAATGACAAGCCCAAGCCCTTTGAAGAGCCGAAGCCGTCTTGCAGCCGTTTTTGACGCCCCAAATGCGGCCTCAAGCGCAACGAAAGGGCTCAAGATTCCCCATTACGACGGAACAACATCCTGGACCGCGTTCAAGCTACAGTTTGAGACACTTATGGAGGCTTATGGTTGGACTCAGAAGGAAGCACAGTCAGCCCTCACCCTGGCCCTCCGTGATCAAGCGCTCTCAGTGCTGGAAGCTATCGGCGCAAGTGGGGATCTCAGCTTTAGTACCCTCCTCGACGCACTTGAGGCACGTTTTGGAGACAGCCACCTCGAGCACGTGTACAGAGCGCAATTAAAAGAGCGTACTCAGCGTGCTAATGAGAGTCTACAGCAATGGTCCGTGGAAATCGAGAAACTTGTGCGTCGAGCTTTTCGGTCGACTCCATCAATGATTGAAGGCA